ACAAGTTTAATGAGTCCACGGCGAGCCGCTTTGCCGTGGCACGGCCAAACGCATACCTGCCTGCGCGCAGGAACGGCCACGGCCTGAGCCGGATTCCTCCCGTCAAAGGGAGCATTCATCAAAGAAGGGGCGGGGGGAAAAAAAAAAAGCAGAGAGGCAGAAACAGGGAAAGAAAAGGAAAATTCCAAATTGAAAACAGAGGTGGAAAATTCTCTTTGAAAGAAACCTTCGGATGCACAAAGGTCACAGCAAATCCGGCTTCCCTGCCTTAGGAATAACAAACCCCCCCAAGTTTTCACAACCAACAAATAACCCCTTTCCCTGCAAAACATTCATCCTCCTGAGCCTGCAGGATTTTTTAAGCCAGCCTTTCAACCAGCATCCAGAAGCCCCGACTGTTTGAACAGCCCGTATCTCATAAAGCTTTTATTTGCCTTCTGGGTTGTTTTTTTTTGTTTTTAAAGCCCTTGGGTTTGCCCTTTGTTTGCGGGGTGAAGCCGAGGGTGCGCACACGGCTCCCGCAGACTCCCCCGAGCTGGATCCAGCCGGGTCGAGCCGCAGGTAGGCGACTGCCGATGGCATGTGGTGCTCCGGGGAGGGGTCCTGCTCCCCCCTCTCCTCCCTCCAACACTTCGGGGAGAAGCAATTTTCCTTTCTTGCACGGATTTCTTATTGCTTTGGCTCCGGTGGGACAGCGCGGCAGGAATCTGGTGTCTCCTCGCCGGGATTGGGATGGCCAATTTGATATTTGTAACCAAAGCCTTGATAAAAGACTGTTCCTCCACTACCAAATGGTGACACGGGGGGGCCTGGCGGTCACCCCATCCTCTCTCTGTCACGGCAGGGTCGTAGCTCTTGGACGTGTCTCCTTCTGGAAATGCTCCAGTGGGTTATTTGCCCACTGCCCAGCTGTCGTGGGCATGGAAAGGGGATTTCTCCCAGCCGGAGCCCCGGGCAGCTCTGCCCTTCGGCAGTGCCGGGAAGGGGCATTTCCAGCATCGTTTGGGATGCCCGCGGTCCAGGGGCAGCTCCGAGCTCTCACCGACCCGACGGGGGATCGGCTGCGGGGACCATCCCGGGGCAGGCGTCTCTAAAGCACCCCAAGTATTTCCTATATTCGTGCAAAGCGGAAAAACTTCTATTTGGGAAAGAAAGAGAAGATTTCTTCCCTTCGGCTCTATTTCTGCAGTGATTTTCCTGGGTGTCTCCAGCCTCCCACGCACCGACACTCACTCCTACCCCTCCGCCTGGTTTTTGGGGCACGGGTAAGGCCACCCCAGCACCCTGCGAGTTGCGAACACCCTTCCAGCTCCTTAATCTTCACCCTGAGCGTCCCCTAAACCAGCGAGAGCCGCTGTTATCAACCACAGGCACAGCTGTTCTGGGACCCCAC